AGACCAGCCTTCCAATGAGAAGGTGACCTGCTCTACGTCCTGAGCTGCAGCCACCCAGACTAAAGCAGTTTGATAAGCTTTTTGCCTCAAAGGGATTTCTTGGATGTTTTGAAACCTTTTCCATGTTACATGTGTTTGTTTTTCATCGTAACAGAAAATACTGACCAGCTAAATTGCTGTTAGCAGATAGCAAATGTTATTTGGTAATGTGCTTGAGCTAACTCAGTCTTCCTTGTCCATCTCTGAGTTCAGACTATCCCAAAGAACTACAGTTTTTAACGAACCCCTGCGAGAAGTGCTTCTGCCCGGCGCCCCCTCCCAAAATCAGCGACCTCATGAACGACAAAGATCTGCTGGACTTGCTGCGGCTCAAATTGGATCCGAACCACTGCACCATCAAAAACTGGAAAAACTTTGCGAGTCGTTGGGGGATGAGCTATGACGAACTGACCCTGCTGGAGCATCGGACCCAGGGCTCCTTGTCCCACAGCCCCACCCAGGAGTTCCTGTCACGCTACAACCAGAAGACGGTCACTGAGCTCACTGAACTGTGCCGCATCTATCAGCGCATTGATGTGCTGCGACTGCTGCAGAGCTGGATAGAGAAGGATTGGCCGTCGCGCTGGCAACACACACATTAATCAATTTGACTCTTAATCTTTCAGGGTTGTACTTGATGTCCTAATTTTCATAAGCTTTGATACATGCTACCAGTTTTATCTTTAGTAAGTGAGCTTGTGAATGGATAAAACAATGCTGTTGAACCTGTCTGTAGAGAATATTGCACAGTACTGACCTCACACTGTTCTGGATATAGTGAATACAAAGTCGCAGATCTGATTGGTGCGTGCAGATCACCAGTTTATTTCTTCCTTGTGACCTGACGTTGGCACACCTGCCGCAGACTCTGAGTCTTCGTGTTAAAGATCGACATGAACTAAATCAGATGGAGTCAAATTTAAGCAATGATGTTGATGTCAATGCTGCAAAATCTCATTTTCTTACTTTCTGTTTTTCAAAGGCTGTTTAGATATTTTCATAATACCTGGGCAGAGGCAGAAACATGTCACTGTGCAACTCAACAACAAGCTCAGACATTAAAGGACGAAACACTGGAGTTGGACACTGAAATAGCTTCACCGTAATGGGACAGTTTACATAGTGATTCCACTGACTTGTTCATTAACACAGCGGTCCCCAACCTCTTTTGCTCCACGGACGGTTTAATGTCAGACAATGTTTTTACGACCGGCCTTTGAGGTGTGGCGGATAAATACAACAAACTAGAATGATCCGAGACACAAACGCTGGTGTTTTGTAAATATAATAAACGCAAATTCACTGTAACTGTGTAACTTTATTAGCAGCGTCCTCCTGAAATACACCAACAACATTGACAGTAACATCCTCCTCTCTTAATCCCCTCTGGTTGCTATGGACACGCGTAAATATTTCTTTCAAAAGAAGACACAGAACTACAACACGGGAAAGACACGGGGAAACAGAGTTCACGATAACCCTGAAAAACACAAATGTCACACCGAGCCTCAACTCTCACGGCCCGGTACCACATGAGTCAGACCGGTACCGGGCCGTGGACCAGGGATTGGGGACCGCTGCGGTAACAGAGGTTAATTTCACGCTTGTTCTGAGACAGTGTATCCATACATTCTTCTTAAGGGAAATGTTTCCCCCAATACAAAAGTACTCATTCCTGTCAACCTTCACCGTCTCCGTTTTTCTGTTCAGCTAAATATGAAAAAGGGAAATCCTGATGATTTCAGAAACACTAGCATGGCTCTAGGTGCAAAGAATTACCCCCCACCCCCTGTTTGGGGGTTTTGGGGGGGAACATGAGCCCATGTTAACAGGATCCCTTCATAACTTTTTGAATACTAATCATTAGCATAAATAAAGCTGAAAGTAGAGCCATGTTATAAACAGTTTATTGGAGTCAAACACCTTTTGTAAAATTACCCAAAGAAAATAACCTGTAAACTAAAAAGCATGCATTCAAAGTATTTTAAGAGCTTTTGTATCAGTATGAAATAAACATGTAAAAAAAACTTGTCAATGTTTTTGTCGTTTTAAAATATTGAATTGTAATATCAGAACAATCTCAAAGGTATAAACGATACAAGAGCCTCAAATGATATTCATTAATGAGTATCACATAATTTAGTAATCATTGTATTTACCTATAAGTAATGTAATGAGGTTGTTAGAATTTTATATTCATATCAGGTGGTTTGGCAGGACCGTGGGTTAAATCACTTGAATGGATGTTTCAACAATTAGAGACCATCCAAACCTTGTTGTCCTTGGGTCATTTTTGTCCTCTAAAGAAATCTTTTGCTATCAAAAATGTGTTTTTGATTCATCAAATGGTCTGAAAATAACAGAAGTTATTCATTACTATACTATGCATGATTGGAATAAGTTTTAAGTAATTTGATTTATTTATGGGGGTTTTATTGGATTTTATAACACCTGTGGTCCTCGTGGACAAAAATGACCCCAAAGTACAAAGTGTTGCAAAGGGTCATATTGTCACAACATACTGGTTTCAAACATCTTTGATCTTGGATCACTGATGTGTGGGGTCAAGCAA